CCATTTTTTTCTTTTTTAAATTAAAAAAATTTACCGTTTCGGCTAAAGGGCCGGCAGTCGCTGGGTCGTAGGTGAGTTCCTTCATGTGCTCCTCCAGGAGTGAGCTGATCTGTTTCTCGGCCTTGCTGGGAAGGAAAACGGTCCCCTCCTCAGGTTCCATCCTGGAACATAGAAAAAGCAATTACATCTACATGTATTATTGCAATGAAGTCCGCTTGAACCGTAATCTGCGGGACCGCCATTTTTTTCTCTCCGTTTAACTAGGTTTTTGGTTTTGCAAGGTTTTCAGTTTAGCCAGTTTTTTGGTTTTGCAAGGTTTTCAGTTTAGCCAGATTTCTCGTTTTGCAAGGTTTTCAGTTTAGACAGGTTTTTGGTTTAGCCAGGTTTTCAGTTAAAAGAGGTTGCTTAAACAGAGAGAGAGAGAGAGAGAGAGAAAAAAGGAAAAATTCGGGAATTTTCTTTTTTTATACGATGTACCACTGTTTTCGGATTAAGCGCGTTTGGTTTAAGTGGGCTCCTCTGTATTTGTTTTACACTCTTTTCAACACAGTCTGAAAGATGATGAGAGGAGAAGCCTACAACTTTTTCCGAAAGGACCAATTTAAGAGAGTGGAGAGCACTGAAACCTCTTCAAACAAGCTGTGTTCAGGAATGCTTCGTTGTAGATTCGAACTAGGGCCATTCCTCTGTAGTTCAATATAATTAATGCCACCCGCGCTGGCGGACAGCATAACATGATGAATCGGCTTACAAAAAAGAGCGGTAACAACGAAGGATTTAATCTTATGAAAAAAGTATTGGCAATTTGTCGCCAAAGGTCAACATGACAGTTTGTCTGACACTAGAAGAATTAAACACCCGCTAACGACATTAATAATAATAATTATTATAATAATTGCATTTATATAGCACATATCCATGCTCAAGAGCATGCTCTATGCGCTTTGCAACTATTATTACCCCAGCAGACCCTCTGAGAACACTCAGAAACATTCTCGGCTTCCTCGGAAGCATACAGTGCAAGCTGCGGATTTCACGCGCTCAAACACTATCAAACTGACAAGATCGTTCACTGTCTATAGCCGGGTACCTATTTCCACCTGGGTGAAGAGAACAAAATTTGTGCAAAGTGCCTTTCCCAAGGACACAACGTCGGGCCCCTAACGGGATTCGAACCCACGACCTTACGGTTGCGAGTCCGAGAGCCTAGGCCATCGACATGAAAACAGTCGTATAACCACAATAAATCACAAATTAATAATAAAAGCCCTTCAAACAACATCAGGTCAGGCATAAAAACCAGCCAAATTAAACCCAACCCCACCATGTTCAACCAAGCACAAACATCTGTATCAAACCCAAGGAAGTTATAATACAGTAAGGTCCTTGACTAATCCCTTCAAACAGCATTAAGCATAAAACCAACCAAACGTATAGCCCCCGTATTCTTATATACTTTTCATACTGGATCCCATACCACGTTCAACCACGCACAAAATCAGCCGAAGAGCGAACACAAACACCCAGGCATATGTGTCACGTACGCAGTGTAGTGCTTGCTGCGCACAGCGTTCTAAGTTAACCCCGTGTATTCTGTCAATTTTATTGACACTTCATTTCACGGGTGTAATTTTAGGAATTTCACAGATTCATGTGGTAGCTAGCAGTGGTGGGGTGGCTGCGGTCGGGTTGTGGTTGTGGTTGCGGTTGTGGTTATTATTGTCACTATTATTGTTGCTGTTTTTTTGTTGATGTTGCTTTTGTTGTTGCTTTTGTTGTACTTGTTGTTGTCGTCGTCGTCGTCGTCGTCGTTATTGTTATTGTTGTTGTTGCTGTTGTTGTTGCTGTTGTTGTCATTGTTGTTGTTGTCGTCGTCGTCGTTATTGTTGTTGTTATTGTTATTGTTGTTGTTGCTGTTGTTGTTGTTGTCATTGTTGTTGTTGTCGTCGTCGTCGTTATTGTTGTTGTTGTTGTCATTGTTGTTGTTGTTGCTGCTGCTGTTGGCGGTGGTGTTAGCGATGGTGCATGTTGTTGAGTTAACAGATTCGATCCTTTCCTGTTGTCCAGCGCGGTGTGGATACATCTAGACTGCACTGTTACTGTTACTGTTGGGACGGTCAAGAGAAAGTTACGGGGCTCTCGTGGTCTAGACGCACGGCGTTCGCCTCTCATTCAATAGGTACCGGATTCGAAACCTGAGAGCGAAGGAAATTGTTGTTCTCTAAAATGTCTCCTTTCACGTATTTTCCTGCTCTCTGATCATGCTCTGTCGTCTGATTTCGTCTCCGCTTTCTGCTCCGGTCCACCCCCACACCCTGTCTTTGCCCTCTCTTCTGGCTCCCTGACTGCTAACTTTTTACTGCTACCCCTTGGCTCCTTCTTACCACTGTCTTTCAGCCGCACTCCTGATCTTAGGATAGGTAAGATCTAACACCTAGCCTTCTCGGATAAGAGCCAAAAAGTTCCGTGTGCAAGTTGAGTACGTTAAAGACTAAAGATCTCTCGGTGGTCATAAAATCGATAAGAATAGGCTTCGGCGGCCACCCGAGCAAAAGTCAAAACTAATTTCTTCAAGTCTGAAAATGTTTAATGAGTCACACGCGCTGAAATGACCTTATGCAGTTGGGAGCGCCGTAAAACACTTACAAAAACAAACAAAACTTAAAAAAAACCCAAACAAACAAAACAATGTACGGCACATGTACAGCTCGCCCAAAAACATTACCCCCCCCTCCCACACGCACACACACACACAAACCTCAGTTTTGGAAATTTTCAATTATCATGTGCTCGAAAGGGAGTTTTGCTTGTTTGAAGTAAAGAAAGTAAAATATAAACCATCATGAAATATGTTCTAGAACTGAGGTAATTATTAGTGTAATGTTTATTTTCAACCTCAGATCTCAGATGGATGCGTAGAAAAAGATCACCCGTGATGGGGAGAAGTTGCTACCTCAGAATTACAAAGTTTTACCTGACAGTTTTGGCCGTTTGGAGTTACTGAGACCGAGAGCTCAGAAACCTGCTCTATCGAGTCGAGATCGTAAGATGATTCGGAGTCTTTATCAAGATGTTCAAAGAATATCATTCGTAAAAGCTTGACTGTCAAATTTCTCAAAACTAGGAACTGAGGAGATACATGTATAGAACTTTGCAATTTTAGGGAAGCGAAGTGTTCTGTGACATCAGCTTATGGAGTTTAAAAAAAAAAAGAATAGGCCTATTGCTTGAAAAGACAGATTAGCAATTGTCATGTATTTAATGTCTGAAAACTAAAAAGTAGATGGAATCAAACGTTGTTCGTTAAAAAGTAGGCTGTTTTTGTGTTGGACAAGCCATACGTACATTTGTAAAAAAAAAAAAAAAAAAAAAAAAAAAAAAAAAAAAACGCTTGGTAAAGTGGTCTCACCTGTAAGTGTTCTCATACTTAACACTGGGCTTCGGCAACTCTTGCTGCGAAAAGAAAGATAAGAGACGTATTAGAGAATGCTTATCCATTTCACTCGAAAAACAAACAAACAAAAAACAAAAACAAATTTTGCATTCTAGGGGTCTTTGTTTTGTTCTGTTACTGTCGTCGTCGTCGTCGAAGTTGTTGTTGTTGTAGTTTATTGTTGTTGTTTTTGTTGGTGGTGGTAGTGGTGGTTGTTGTAGTTGTAGTAGTAGTAGTTGTTGTTGTTGTTGCTGTTGTTTTGTTGTAGTAGTAGTAGTAGTAGTAGTAGTGGTAGTAGTAGTAGTAGTAGTAGTAGTAGTAGTAGTAGTAGTAGTAGTAGTAGTAGATTGAAATCGTACTTGTAGTTCTTGTTGTAATTACATATTGTTGTTGTTGTCGTCATTGTTGTTGTTGTCGTCGTCATTGTTGTTGTTGTTGTTGTTGTTGTTGTTGTTGTTGTTGTTGTCGTCATTGTTGTTGTTGTTGTCGTCATTGTTGTTGTTGTTTTTGTCGTTACTGTTGTCGTTGTTATTGCAATCATACTTGTAGTTCTTGTTGTAACTATTGTTGTTGTTGTTGTTGTTGTTGTTGTTGTTGTTGTTGTTGTTGTTGTTGTTGTTGTCGCCATTGTTGTTGTTGTTTTTGTCGTTACTGTTGTCGTTGTTATTGCAATCATATTTGTAGTTCTTGTTGTAACTATTGTTGTTGTTGTTGTTGTTGTCGTTGGCAGTGGTGATGTTTTATTGCATTTCAATTAAGTTATACTTATTTCAAAATGAATAATGCCCCCATCGACACAGACAGTCAGGGTGCGGTCTAATACGACCCTGTCCTTTGTTTGTTTTGGTAATTGTTTTACGGCGCTCGCAACTGCATACGGGCATAATATGAGTGCGCTGGACACATTAATTAACCCTATTCGTACGCCAGGGGGTCATTTTGTACCCCGGGGTTGTATTCTTCACATTTTAGAATACTTCTAACGCGAAGATCTCTTTGAAACTTTTAGTATTTCTCAAAAAATCATTTTGACAGACCGCTATGCAAAGCGTACGGATCGGATTAACGAGTAAATTTCCTCGTTGGAAAGTGGTGGCACAGAGTTCCCCACGTCGTATGGATACGATAGTAAAACACGACGTACGGATAGGGTTAAACATTTACAGTTTGGTAGGCAGGCCCCCCTATTAATTTTGGATTTTGCCCGGGTAGCGGCGGAAACCTACTCTTACGGATACTTGGACCACCAAAGGATCTTTAACGTGCGCAACTTGCACACGGGACCTCCGTAAATTTTCGCCCTTATCCGAGAAGGCCAAGTGTTAGATCTTACATACCCTAAGATCAGGGGTGTGGCCGAAAGACAAGAAGGAGCCAAGGAGTAGCAGTAGAAAGGCCGCACGAAGAGGAAGGGGCAAAGGGGGGGGGGATGGTGACATAAAGTGGAGACGGAAGCAGACGACAGAACATTGAGAGAGAGAGAGAGAGAGAGAGAGAGAGAGAGAGAGA